CTGCAGCCTTCTTGCTGGCTGGGCATGAGAAGCCGAAAAATCCTTGATTTAGTATAAACACTGCTTAGCAACAACTGAAAACATCAGTGTGTTATCAACATTCTTCTCATGCTAAATCCAAAACACAACACTATACCAGCTACTAGAAAGAAAATTAACTCTATCCCAGCTGAAACCAGGACAGCTCCCAAAGCAAGAATTAACTCCTCACTGCTCTGCATGCAGCTACCTTCCTCACCATGCATGCACATCCCTGTCCTTAGGGTAGGAAATAATGCGGAAAGACTAAGCAAAATAGTGCTATTTGGTATCCTGAGTTTCTGTAGTGAAATGATTTTAGAAATAAACAAGTGTCTGTTTTTTAGTGGTATGCCTTCCCAGCAATCATTGGCGTTAACCCTGGCAGAGAAGTTGGCCTCCCAGGCAGAGGGTGTACCCCTAGTTAGCCGCATTAGCTAGATAGTAACTGAGGAGGCAAGGAAGTAACCACCTTGCACAGTGTTTTGTCTACTGAGGGGTCTCTTGGACCTTCTTGTGCAGCAGCCTCCGGTAGGGGACCTTCAGGTCTTATCCTGAGTGCCAATTTCTGTACTCCTAGGAGTGTTGGACTGTTGCTAGAGCAGAGCTGTGAGTGTTTACTTGTGTGTGCACAGATACTTGGACTTACTGAGGTGTGTCTTGGAGTGTGGAGATCGGATGCAGCTATAACAGTTTCTCACACACCTCGATGTCAGGAGAAGACTGCCTTAGTTACAGAAATCTCACGCCTCAAAAAAAATGTACCTGCTGCTTCACGACATTTCACAGCAACCTGAGCCTCTTTGTAGAGCAGGCTGTATGTGTCGAGAGCAAGTCACTGCTGAATCAAAGATGCTAGAGAATATTCTCCAGGCTGTATCCCATGCTGTTTTAAGGAAAGTTGGAGAGTATTCTGCAAGAAGGAAGTGATGAGGTGAGTTTAGTAAGCTTGGGTGCAATAGGAAGTGCCCAACTGTGGGACAAAACTTTTGCTGTGTTATGCATCATGAGTCATACCTGTGTGCAGTGTTTAGGGGCGGCTCTGACAGTCACACCACATAGGGAGCATCTGAAGCAGAGTTATACAGAGCAGTCACAACTCTTTTCCTTCCGGAGACTTCTAAACTGTAATATGCAAGTGTTGGGTAAGAAGCCAAACACTTCCCCCTGCTTGTATGTACAGCTGGGGGTGGTGATTGCTGCTGCTTACTGAGCAAAGAAAACTGGCAACCCTTGGTCTGCAGCACAAACCAGAGCTGTGTTGTAGTCAGGTCTATTGGGTCTTGATGGTGCGGGTGCATTTAAACCTCTAAAGTGCATGAGAAAGGATAGTCGTGCCCCTCTTGGCATTCCGGGTACCTTGCAGGATGGAGTGCCTGGGTGCGTGCAGGTGTCTGTAACCAAGCACCAGTGGGAACTGCCTGGGGACCTCTCAGAGAGCTGTAAGCCACCTGAAGGAGCAGCTTCTTGACAGGCTCACTGGCTGCATTGATGCTATCACCACTACTCTCAGGAAACCCTCTCCGTAGAGCTGGTGCCTCTTCTGGTGGGCACAGTGCAAAACATGCAGCAGAGCTGGTGTGAATCCAGCAGTTGGTGTTCCAGCTGATTCTCAATGCCCACAGTGTGTAAGCATGGGATGGGTTTACATCTTTGTCGGCGACCACAACTGACCCATGGTTGTCTTTTGCTGAGCGGACTTGGGCCTGCTCTTTTGCCCAGCTGCGCTTGGGCATATGTGGCTGATGGCGCTGTGCAGGGCTGTGCTGGGTTGTTACCCATGGGCTGGTGGCAATGCTTTTCTCGTTGAAGCAATGTGGATTAACTGCCCAGGTCTTCCTAGAGTGCGCTAACAGCTTAAGCATGATCAGGCAGTAATCAACATGCAAATATGGCTGATGAATTTTTGTGTTGTGTAAAAAGCTACTTGTATAGCCATGTCAGAGTGGCATGTTGAGCTCCTGTTACAAAACCATAATTGCATTTCTGTTGTAGATGTAGGCTTGGCAAAACTGGGGCAGGAATTATTCCATTGATCACCTGATGGGACCTGTTCAACGAGGCCGTTCCCACACTCCCTCCAACTCAAAGACTAAACCTGTTCTTGTACAAAATGGGTTTTTGTGTGTGTAGTTATTGTTTCTCAACGTGTTTCTGTCCCAGCGTGGGTCCCAGTTACACAGCTTTGAGCTCACCATGCTGGACTGCAGCCACGTGGCTGCAGTGGGGATCCTTGCTTTTCATATGCGGTAAGATTTAGGCTGTCTCCACAATCAGGAGTTTAATACAAAACAGCAACAAAATAATTCCTGCTAGTAACTGCCAGCTCATGTCACAGGTGTGGTGGGAGCTGTTGCATGGTTAAACTTGTGATTTTATCATTGTGTTAGTTAAGCTTTGTGAAAAGCAGCTTTATTCATTGTAGTGGCAAGGGCAGGACCAGCCTCGGGAAGCCGGCTGTCCTCTGAATCCCACTGCAGCTGAATCAGTGTGATGTTTGGTACTGTCACTAGCGTGGAAGAGATCTCAGTGTCTAGATGCGTATGCGTCAGGAATGTGGGCTGAGGCACAGATTGTGTTCCTCACCTCAGAACTTGTATTGGCAGGACAAACACCAGCCTGAGCAGACATGGCTGTCACGGATGAGGGCCTGTACTCAGTGCAGGACCAAATTTATCACCAGATTTTGGGCTTTAGGCTCCTGGTCAGATGAGAATTATATTGTAAAAAAAACCTGTCTGATCCAGCTGTGTGTAGGTTTCACCAGGGCTTGCATTACATATGATTAAGAAAGAAAAGGTAAAATGCAGAGGTGGAATGAGTCTACGTAGGGATAGCACAACAAATACAAAACCATATAGAGGAGACACTTAATGGCCTCAACTTTGGACTGCTGAGCCTTTGGATTTTGTTAGCGTCACCCTCGTCCTGAAGGCACCCTTTCCCAGCACAGTGCGGGTGGCAGAGTCGCTGCCAAAGGAGGTGACGTGGGTAATTGCTGGGGTGTGGGGAGAGAAGTGCTTCCTCTTCCAAACAAGCTTGACTTTGTGCTGTCTGGTGCCTTGTCAAGGTCCCCTGGGCCCAGGGTGAGATGGCAGCAGTGTAACCATGGCAGTGTTTGGTCTCCCGGATAGTCAGTCACTGCTTTAATGACTCATCCCGGAGCATGTGATCACGTGTGCAGCCTCCCCGCTTCCCTTTGCCCTATTTCATCCAATCTTTTGATCTAGTTATATAACCAGGAGGCGAGAGGGGTGGGGGGAAGGAAACAGTGCTGAAGAACTGCAGGTGATGTGACTAAAATGTGTCTGTAGCTCAAATAGCAGAGCTGTTGTCTGGGAAGCCTGGGAAACTGGGTTTATTCCCAGCACAGTTCTCTGTCTGCAAGTGAATGTGATGCATGATATCTGTGCTTGTAAGTTTAAGGAGGCGTGGTGGGAGGATGGGGCACCAGGACCTTGGCTGTGGTAGGATGACTGCCATGATTGTAGCAGCGAAACCCTTTGCTTGTATCTTCACATGCAACATAACTCTTTCTTGCATTCATCATGAGATCCATTTCATCCCATAAGTTGTGGATACCTGTTTTTCCAGTATGTGTAGGACTGGCTGGCACTGATGTTCACTGAAACTTTTGGGCTGCTGCTGGTATTGGTCCATGGTGGGGTGAGCCCTGAAGTCCTAAATGGATTCTGACAGAGACTTTGAGCAAATGCTGGGACAGGTCTGATGGGATGTCTGGAGAGGAAGCTTGCAAAGTTGGTGCTTTTGACCACAGTGTGAATCTAGTTCTTGTCATCTTGATTTTAAGAGGTGATGCTGGTGGTAAGGTTAATTTAATAGGCATATTAACGTGGCAGCTGTAGAGGTGCTGTACATGCAACGTGCTGTACTGAAGCATCCTTCATTTAAACTCCCAGCTTTTTGAGAAGGGATGCTCTTTGTCTTCAGGTCCCATGGAGTCACAATGTGATGCTGGTTGGTTCTGTATTACTTCATCTGCCACATTCTTCTGCACTGATGTCTTCTTTCCTTCTTTTCTTCAAAGTTCTGTCCAAGTGTCACTTCAGTCATTAGCTCAGATACACAGTATAAGCAAGAAAGCTGATTATGAGATGAGGTTCAGGGTATCTCTTTGACTGACACAAGGGAACAAGATGCTTCAAAGAAGCTATTACAAGGCTTGTCAGAAACAGTTTACTTCTAGGGAAGCTTTTGAACAGAAACATTTCCTTTCTGTGCTCTGCAACCATTAGCTTGGTCACTGGCAGCCTGCTGAAGAGCAAAATGTCACATAGAACAAGGTGTCATTTCACATAGTGCTTTAAGACTGAAATCAGCCACTAATGGAAGTCTGAAAATAGGAGAATGAAGAGAAAAAGGAATGCGTGTGATTTATAATATAGAAAGAATATTGCCATGTACCATTTAAATCGTGAGAGTGGAGCCTGGTATAAAACCACTGAGCTGCCTGCTAAGCCATGGCCTAGTGCTTGAACCAGATAACCTCTTGCATGGTATGTTCTGTTAACTTGGAAGGTGGTTACAGAGGTGTCATATAAATGGAAATTTCTGCCCCACTTGAATGATGTGAAACAAAGAAAAAGAGATTTGAGTTCCTTGTTTTAATCAGAGCTCATCGGGCCCCTGTAGGAAAACAGGTCCTTAGGGGCAGCAAGTGCTCTACATGGACTGAAATAATTTTGCCTTGTTTTCTTGTCAGGATACTTTTGGGCTGTGTTGAGTGGTGTTAGTCTTGGCTTTCACTGGGAACAGAACCTTCACTGTAAAACTTTTTAATACTCTTTGAGTGGCTGTCAGAAAGGACCCCAGTTTTGACCCTCAGAGAAACGTGCTTGCAAACGCGTGAGAACAGGGATTGTTGGTTCCCATTCAGCTCAAATCCTGATGAATGCTCATGTAAAAGCCAGCTGCCAGCTTGGCAGAATTCTTCTCATGTCATTACCTCCTTGTCTTTTCAGACCAACCCCAGGAAGCTGTGTTCAGCGGTGACCATGTTGAACATGCAGAGGATGGAGAATGGCAGCGCTCTACTTCAACTACCTCATCTCAGAGTGAGCGGGCAGAGCGACTTTTGCAGAACCAGCACAAGAGCCTGGCCTCTGAGGACACCAAAAAGAAGAGGGCTCAGAAACCGTCTCACATGCGGAGGAACATAAGGTAAGCAGCAGCAGGACAGAAGAAGCTAGGGTCCTGTATAGCCTTTGGATAAATTGGGATCTCTGGACTTTGCTTTTGAGCTACATTTTGCCACTGCTGGCAAACCAGATGGCTTTTCTTTTCCAAAACCCTAGGATTTCACCAGTGGGAGTAGTATGATCTCAGACTGGAGTGCTGCATGTGGGTGCAGACTTGTTTGGTATTTCAGAAGAGTGAATATTTGGTTATGGAATATCTTGAAAAAATTACGTATTTGCTGCTGGCTTTTAACAAATGTAGTTGAAAAACAGTGCCACCATTAAGTAAACATCCAGTTTCAGATATCTGCTGATGAGGATCCTATTGCAAACAGCCTAAAATACAGTCCTTCCCTCTGCTATCCTGGGTACTTGTTGGCAGGAATGCTGATGCTGTGACTGGTGACTGAAATGTTGGAAATCAATTTCACCTGAATTTTATAAAGCAGTATTACTTGATTGTGTAAGTCAGCACATATATTCTGGGGCAAGTTATGAGGTGGTAATTCACTGTGAAATTTTGTTCAAGGGCATCTAAAATACTCAGAGGAGTCATAATGGAGCAGGAACTCCTGTGGCAGCAAGTGGCTCTTTTGCCCTGTGTGTAACATGCTGGTGGTCCTTGGTTCCTGTTTAAGCTTGTTCAGATTGATTTACTTAAAGCTGAAGGAATGAGCGTTGAGTAGGCCTTGGAAACTGAGACCTCATTAGGATGGAGGAGATGTCCCTGCAGTGTGGAGCTGGGTGGATTTAAAGGCTAGTTTGAGGGAGCTGGATTTTACCACTGCTTGTACTGCACCTCTCCTCTGGCAAAAGAGCATTCATTTCCAGGGCTGCACATGTGAAACTGAAGAGGGGGGAAAGCAACTTTTGGAAGTAATGAAAATTACCCATACAGGTAAGGTGCTTTGAGAGCATCCTTTGAAACAATTGCTAAAGCCATTAGAGGTTCTAGTTCCTGAAAATGCTATGTCAGAGGAGAATCAGGGTGATGACTTTCTGTGGGCGAATTGATGCCTTTTCTTCCCATACATCTTCTTTGCATGACTTCGTGCATTTCTGTTTATAAACTGCATAGTAATAAATAACATCCTTTCAGATAGAAGAACTAGTCTATGATAACCTAGTTTAAGTATATACTTACCCGCTCACATTTTTCCTCCTTTCATTATTTAGCTTCTGTCAAACCTTTGTCTTTTCCTTACTAATAGTAGTGTTACCTGTAGCTGGGAAACACAGTCTTGAAATAGCTGTAGAATTTGTCTATAGCTTTTGGCGATGATGTTCCTAGTCAGTGTAGCTGACAGACTTCCTGGAGCTTGTCAGTCATCTTTTGAGCCAGGTGTACAGCCATTCACGTTTTTGGAAGAAATTGTTTGAGTGTAACCAAATCATGTTTCTCTGCTCCTGTGTTCAGAAAGCTGTTGCGTGAGGACCAACTGGAAGCCGTGACAAAAGCAGCCCAGCAGGAAGAGTTGGAGAGAAGGAAACGGCTAGAACAGCAGAGGAAGGATTACCCAGCCACTATACCAACTGTACCCCTAGAGTTTCTTCCTGGTAAGCAGCGGGAGATGCCACCTGAAGCAAGATTTTTAAGGATAGAAGCTGAATGAGGAAGAAGTGCTATGCTTGTCTGTGATAGGACAAGGGGTAATGGTTTTAAACTAAAAGAGGGTAGATTCAGACTGGACATAAGGAAGAAATTTTTTCCGATGAGGGTGGTGAAACAATGGAACAGGTTGCCTGGACAGGTTGTAGATGCCCCATCCCTGAAAACATTCAAGGTCAGGTTGGATGGGGCTTTCAGCAACCTGATGTAGTTGAAGATGTCACTGCACATGGCAGGGGGGTTGGACCGGATAACCTTTAAAGGTCCCTTCGAACCCAAACTATTCTATGATTCTATGCTGCACTTGGACTTTCAAGTGTAAACTCTTGAAACAGCTGTTCCAAACCACTTGTTGGTTCAGTGTAGTCAGTTCCACTTCTGAGCTAGTTCTGAATCAAGATGCTGTGGCTGCATGGTGAAAGGTGGCAAGTAACTTTTGTGGAAGATATTTTGACAAGTCAATTGTGTGTAAGCGGGATGCTGGAACAGGTCTCTCTTGTCTTTCCAACTGGTATGGAAGCTTAAACCAACAGACTTGACAGAAATACCATGTCCTTTGTCCAGATCATATATGTACTGTGAATGATCTGGTAATGCATGGGTCTGGTAAGAAGGATAGTGGAACAACAGACTGGGTGCGCATATGGTTGTGATGTAACCTTGTCCTGTCTTGCATGTTTCAGCAAGCAGTGAAATAGCAGGCAGTATAAATGGTTAAGCATCACCCTTGTCTTCCAGTGAATATGTCATCTTGCATTCTAACCTTAGTTTATGGCACAGCCTCTCAGACTGGTGTAAAGGGCAGAGAAGTGCAGTTGGAAGTTGTGTTGGGGCAAGGAGTTCTTGAGTTGACTTTGCCTCTTGAGAAAATATATATTCTCCCTTAAGTGCAAGTGTTCAAAACATTTTTGCATATAGGGAAAGGAATAAGAACTATTTAAAACACTTGTTGCAGAGTAGGTTGCAGCCCCAGAAGAACATCATTGCTTGCTGAGTCATTGCAGTGGTGCTTATTTGGCCCTGTTAGCTATCCTCTCTCCCCACCATGGCAGTACTTAAACATACAAACAAATGGTCTTGATCAGCAAAAGTTGTTTATGGTATGTGGGATGTAATTATTACAGTGTCCCTACTAACAAAGGGCAGTTATCATCCCTTCAGCAGTTGGTACTTTCTCTGCTGGTTGAAAACCAGCTTTTACTTCCGAGACCCCCCCTCCAAAAAAAAAGAATAAATTAAAAAAGGGACTTCAGCATGTTGCATGGTCAGTGTGCCCCAGCCAGGGCATGCAATAGAGAGGGTGCAATGGGCTATTGTTTCGGCATATTGAGAAAGGAGGAGATTGTGACCCAGGAAGCTGAGTCATAGCAGTATTGTAGACAGTGAGAGTCTATTATGGAAAATTCCAGAGCTAAGTTACTGGAGCAAAAGTGGAAGGAAATACTGTCTGGTTTCCGAACAGTCTTGTCTCCTTCTCCATTATTATGAATTACTTATTGTTTGTAATTTATGTTTGTAGAGGACATCGTTTTCAGAACAGCAGAGGCTACTCAGCTCCCCCCTCAGGTCCTGGCTGAGGAAGTGATTTGCCTAGATAGTACCAGCAGTGGCAGTGAAGATGATGCTAAAGGAAAAAATAGCATTAAAGATGGTAAGTGACCAATTGCTTCAGCCTGGTCTTCTCACAATATGCAGTTTATTTAGCCACAAGTCTCCTGTTTTCATCTAGTCAGATGCTCCAGTAGTGAATCACTTCAGATTTTTGTAAGCCTATTGGTTTCCAAATATATGGCCACTTCTGGCCTTTGACTCCTAAACTGACATTTAAAAAATGGCCTATCAGGCACTCTTGAGAACTTGTATTTATTTCTGGTTTATAAATGCACTTAATTTTGCTTGGTGCTCTGCTGAAGAATGCTTACATGAGATGTGTGTCATCTGCTGTGTATAAAATGAGCATCTAAGTATTCTGATCTGCAATTTAAAGTGGGTTTTGTGTCCCTTGTCCCAAACGGATCTAACCTGACTTCTTTATACCACTCCAGTAGAGTACTTCAGCCTGATTTTTTTGGTGGTCCTTTGACATTGTATCAACAGTTAAAATACATATCTGGGTTTGGGAATTAAGAGGACATAGGGAGGAGAACATAAAACACTTACAGAAACTGTCTCATGTTCTGTTTGGAAGCCCAAATTAGTGTTCTCTGAAACATGGGGAAACTCAGGGAAACTCATGCTTTTATAAGCTGCTCTGAGGGGCCTGATGTGTGCCTGGATTGTGCCTGCTTGTTCAGAATAAGTCATTAGGCCAGTGTGGAATTGCAAAAGGTGGTAGCCTTGTTTTCCTGATTTTTTTTTTTTTTTTTTTTTTTTTTAATGCATAAAAAACCTTGATGTCAAGTTAACTTTTGCCCTTATTCTCTCCTGTTTTGATTACTTTACAGAAGTGATTGAGCTGAGTTCAGGAGAGGATGATGCCCTCCAAATTGTGGACAGCAGTGATTCTGGCAATGAAGGGGAGGAGGATGGCAGTGAAGAGAGCAGTGGCTCTCATGTGAATGATGCCTTAAATAAGTCAGATGCTCTGGGGCAAGTCATTGTCAACATCAATCATCCACCAAACGAGGAGGACATTTTCCTGGCTCCCCAGCTTGCACATGCAGTAAAACCTCATCAGGTAGGCTTTGTTATCCTTGAAAATGCAATGAATTCAGGCAAGCCTGCCTTGTAATCTCAGCAGAACTTCTTTGGTGAGCTCTGTGACCAGCCTGGTTGTGGTGGTGGCGGCTGTTGTGGACAGTCAAATGGTAAGGACAAATTAAAGGAAGGCCAGGGCTATCTATTATTTCAGCTATTGTTATCATCAGACCTTTGTATATTTAAATGAACATTTTAAAAATAAAATTATATTTATAAACAAACTAATTGACCCCAATTCAAATTCTCTGGCTACAAATGAATTTTGATTTATTGTTACATTCTCAGGAAGTTTCATGAGTATCTAAAAACACTGACTTTCTGAGCCTTCCCTAGATTAGAGTACTGTAGTGAACTTGAAACATCCCCTTTATATTTTCATGGTTTATGCAATCTTACTGTGCTTGCCACTCTGTAAATATATACTGATCTTGGTTTTTTCCCCACCATTCTAATACCTTACCTACTTTTCTGTCTAGATTGGTGGGATCCGATTCCTATATGACAACTTGGTCGAGTCCTTGGAAAGATTTAAAACCAGCAGTGGGTTTGGGTGTATTTTAGCACATAGCATGGGCCTGGGCAAGACCATACAGGTCATCTCTTTCTTGGATGTACTTTTTCGGCACACGGAAGCAAAGACTGTTCTTGCCATTGTACCTGTAAGTAGCCACATGAAGGGCTGGCTGAGGGACTTCCTTACACTGCTTCTTTCTTTGTGTAGAGAATATTGATTAGTGTCCTGTCTCACATCAAGCTCTATCATACCCTTGCTGCTCTTCTCCCTCTTTCGTTCCCTGTGTCCCTGAGTTTGCCTGCTGTGGTCTGCTCCTTCTGTCTGGGCACAGCTGGATGTCATTTCCTATTCTCATTTTTGCCTTAAAATCCTGAGTGACTCAACTAGGTTCTTAATCCTTCCATGGCTAACTTTTTCAGGTGAATACGCTCCAAAACTGGCTAGCAGAATTCAACATGTGGCTCCCAGCACCTGAAAACCTTCCTGCTGATTATAACTCCAAAGAGGTCCAGCCCCGCACCTTCAAAGTCCACATCCTGAATGACGAACACAAGTAGGTGTCAGTAAAAGCCTTTTGAGCTCTTGGACTGCATCTTAAGGAACTGTTTTCAGAATTGCTGTTGCAGACTGTTTAGTATGGGCTAATTCTATGCCCTCGACTCCCAGATCTTTCCCACTCTGCATTTGTTGCAGATGCTGTCTTAAGGGGAGGATTTGGGTACCTGTGAGAGATTTACTGTCTCTTTCATTAAATATTTATATCTTGTACTTCTTTCTTACACTGCTAACAGGCCTTTCTGTTCTTCCATAGCTACTTCTGCAGAGAGGAGCAGAAGTGCTATGGCTTGTTTCTGGTGGTACACTGCTAGTCCTGTCAGAGTCCTGGGATTCCTGAGGCATATGCCCCCTATACCACGTGTCTCTCATATTTTAAATGTGGCTTGTTTTTTTTTCCTGAGATTTTTCACACACTTAGGGATTCCTCTACCTGACACTGTGACTTTTTGTGAATTGTGTTGTCCTTGAGGGATTCTGGCAAGTTATACAAAACCTCCTTCTCCAGAAAGGAGAGATCAGTGATTGCAGTTACAGCGTGGCGTAGAGTGTATTCTTGGCTTGTGGATCTCTGCTTCTTTCTGGGTCATTTTTCTTGCATGGATCAGGACAGCGTAGTGATCCTAGGGAACTCTCAGTTCACCACCTGTGTTCGTACACCTATCTGTGGAGATCTTCACCTTCTGGGTGGAACATACTTTGAATCTGCTCCAGCCATGTGTTTACTATTGGATGGGATCTAGTGTGCTCTGGGAGGATTGAGTGAGGACAACGTCTTGATCTGAACCAATACTGAGCAGGCTAGCAGGGAAGGAATAATTGAGGGACATTAGCATTGGAAGAGACAACAATAAGGGATAAATGACTAGATGATTACAACCACGTATGTTAGCAGCTCATTCTGAAAATGGTTTTTGCAGAGGCAGTATCCTCAACAACTCTTTAAAAAGGATGCTCTCAAGTTTGATATGCTTTTGTACATTACAAACTTCTACAGCTCAGTTCCTGTAAGGATTTGTCATTCTCAAGCCTGCTACCCATGACACTTAAAAGGCTTTTTTCTTTTCCTCTGTACCAGATTGTCTCCTAAAGCAATTTCATTATATTCTTCTCTCTGGTTTGATGCAAGAAAGTGCTTTAATTAATTGAATGGGTCTTTTTTCTCAGCAGACTCCAATCCAGTGGTTCAAACAGAAACTGGAGAGAAAGCTTACAGTTTATTTGGTTGGTTGGTTTGTTTGTTTGTCTGTTTGTTTTGCAGGACAACAGCTGCACGTGCAAAGGTGGTGAATGACTGGGTCATAGAAGGTGGTGTGCTGCTTATGGGATATGAAATGTACCGTCTCCTCTCACTGAAGAAGTCCTTTGCCACTGGCAGGAAGAAGAAAACAAAGAAACAAACTGGCCCTGTCATTATTGACTTGGATGAGGAAGACCGGCAGCAAGAGCTTCTGAAAGGTGGGAGGCCAGTCCTAGAGAGAGAGAGCGTGATCCTGTTGTCTAGCTGGCTATCAACTCTGGCAGCACAGGGAAACAACCTATAACTTGCTTTTAGCATCCCTGACATGATCAAACTTTGCCGGGCAGGATTGTGTCTTTGGAGACAGAAGGTTGTTGAGCTTTGGTTGAGTCTTTCATTTCTTGCAATAGCTGCAAGTAAGCATAGAAGTCAGTACACTGAACTTGGGGATTTGTCTGTGTGAGATTTGCCAGTCTGATCTGATGCAAGACACCCAACTTGATGCAATGCAGGTCATTGAGCAGAAATCAAGGGACAGTCATGTCCGGTCATTACCACATTATGCTAAATCAGAGCTAGTGTCTAGTCACCTTTTATTTCCTGAATCAGCCTTGCTCTCTGCCACCCATGAATACTGCTTTTTGTCTTTCAGAACTACCCCTCTTTTTGTGAAGTTGGTGACCATATAAAACCAGAACTTTGTCTTATTCATCTCTAACTAACACTTAATGTTCCTTGTCCTCAGGGATTGAGAAAGCTTTGTCTCGCCCTGGCCCAGATGTGGTTATTTGTGATGAGGGACACCGGATAAAGAACTGCCATGCCAGCACTTCGCAGGCCCTGAAGAACATCCGCTCCCGCCGGCGGGTGGTGCTGACTGGCTACCCCCTCCAGAACAACCTCATTGAGTATTGGTGCATGGTAGACTTTGTCCGACCTGACTTTCTAGGCTCACGGCAGGAATTCAGCAACATGTTTGAGCGCCCTATCCTGAATGGGCAGTGTATTGACAGCACCCCTCAAGATGTCCGTCTCATGAGGTATCGCAGTCATGTCCTGCATAGCCTGTTGGAAGGCTTTGTGCAGCGGTGAGTCCACAAGGAGTTCTTAACGGTGTAGTCTATGCAAACAGCTCCTTCATCCCAAATTAACCTGCTTGTTTGCTGAGTTTATGCAGTAGAACTAATCTTGCTGCCTTACAGAATCATAGAATCATTTAGAACTAATCTTGCTGCCTTACAGAATCATAGAATCATTTACATTGGAAAAGACCCTTAAGATCATCGAGTCCAACTGTTAACCTAACACTACCAAGTCCACCGCTAAACCATGTCCCTCAGTGCAACATCTACACATCTTTTAAATACCTCCAGGGATGGTGACTCAACCACTTCCCTGGATAGTCTGTTCCAATGTTTGACAACCTTTTTGGTGAAGAAATTTTTCCTAATATCCAATCTAAACCTCCCCTGGCGCAACTAGAGGCTGTTTCCTCTTGTCCTGGGAAAAGAGAACACCACCTGCCTCGCTACAATCTCCTTTCAGGTAGTTGTGAAGAGCAATAAGGTCTCCCCTCAGCCTTTTTCTCCAGACTGAACAGCCTCAGTTCCTTCAGCCGCTCCTCATAGGACCTGTGCTCTAGAACTTTCACCAGCTTCGTTGCTCTTCTTTGGATGTGCTCCAGTACCTCAATGTCTGTCTTGTAGTGAGGGGCCCAAAACCAAACACAGTATTTGAGGTACAGCCTCAGCAGTGCCAAGTACAGGGGGACAATCACTTCCCTAGTCCTGCTGGCCATGCTTTCTGATACAAGCCAGGATGCTATTGGCCTTCTTGGCCACCTGGGCACACTGCTGGCTCATATTCAGCCGTCTGTCAACCAGCACCCCCAGGTCCTTTTCCACCAGGCAGCTTTCCAGCCACTCTCCCCCAAGCCTGTAGCACTGCATGGGGTTGTTGTGACCAAAGTGCAGGACCCAGCACTAAGCCTTGTTGAATCTCATAGAGTTGGCCTTGGCCCATCGATCCAGCTTCTTAGGCTTGAGTTTTAAACAGGTACCTTATCTGTCTTTGTGGGAGGATTTTAGGCTTACATAGAAGACTACCAAGGAGATTCTTAGGTTAGCAGCTCCATATTTCTCTCAGAATCTCTGTCTTGCTCAATCTGTCAACTGCAAAATGGTCCTTATGGCTCTGTTTTGCCTTGGGGGTAGAAGTAAAGTTGGTTTGCTTTGGTACCACAGACTGATAATGGAGAAAACCTCTAACTTCACCAGAGTGACCTCAGGTTTATCTTGATGTCTTAATAATTAATTTGGATGTGCACTTTTTGACATCCTCTACCTAAGGATCTGAAAGTGTTTCATGAACCCTCAGTTATGGAAAGTGACAGTGTCTCCACCACTCTGGAAACAAATCAGCTTTGTTTCTCAGATGAGGGTTCTAAGATGCTGGACCAGTGTTTAGGATGGAGTGTATTAGTCATTGCAGAGCTAAAAAGAGACCTTAGGTCTGTCTTCTATTTTTCAACTGCCGTGGAAAACAGGACTTTCATCACCCTCTTAACCCTGTGACCTGTGCTAGAAGATTGTAACATTTGAGATCTCTGTAACTGTGCTTACCATTGGTATTTGGCTGCAGGGAGACTATCTCGGAAGTGTCATGCATTAGAGAAGCATGCAACTAGAGGTCTTTCTCCCTGCAGCCAGGCGGGCAAGAAGTCAAAATCTTACCCTACAGGCAGCCACAGAGAGGTCAGATTTGGAAATTCCCTTCTCTCTATTTATCTCTCTCTATTTCATCCACAGGCGAGGCCACAATGTGCTGAAGGTTCAGCTCCCATCTAAGGAAGAACATGTCATTTTGGTACGTCTATCAAAGATACAGCGGGCCCTTTATACGGAGTTCATGAACCGGTTCCGAGATGCAGGCAACAGTGGCTGGCTGGGACTGAACCCACTCAAAGCTTTCTGTGTCTGTTGTAAGGTAGGTTTTGGCAGGAGATAGAAAGACGTATTCTAGTAATGTAAGGGAAAGGTGGGAATATGAGTTGAAACAGGAGGTAAAAGTGTGGTTGGCCAGGCACATCTTCTCTCCCCAGAGTGCTCTGCAATGGCCCAGCAGAATTGTTATCCCCACTTCCAGAACTGGGGTGCAGGGATGTTAAATTTCTTTTTCAGATTTGTGCAAGAAACCTGCAGCCATCAGCTGAAGCAGTACTGGGCTGATACCTTAACCACTTACCTGCTGCTATGCAAACAAGCAACTTCCTTTGTGTTTGTGCTGTGTGGGGTGCACAGTGGCCTTCTGTTTTGTTCTCAAGGAAAGAATTGGGCAGTTTTAAAGTCAGGAGAGCCTTCGTTAAGATGGTTTATACTTTGTGTGATGGCAGTTACATCTTCTGTTTTCACTACCTTAATGCAGTCAGACTTGTTTTCTCTGCAGTGCCTTACAGTTCCATGTGGGAATGGTGAAGAGATGATCAAAATATTAGTTCTTCCTTTTGAGTAGCTGTAGGGGATTTCAGTCCACAATCATTGGCAAGCAGCAGGCCAGCACAGGCCTAACTGCTTTCTTTTCTTACCCCTTCAGATCTGGAATCATCCAGATGTGTTGTATGAAGCTCTGCAAAAGGAGAATCTGGCAAATGAGCAGGATTTGGATGTGGATGACCTTGGCACAGCAAGTACTAATTCCCGCTGCCAGCCTCAGGGAATTAAAGTCAAAACAGAGAGTAGTGCATTGGCATCACCAGTTGGAGAAGCTACCAATAGCAAGTTCCTCCAGAGCGTTGGCTTCAACCCTTTTCAGGAGAGAGCAAATCAGGTTGTTACTTATGAGTGGGTGAGTACCACTGCTGGAAAACTCTTCATTTGGTGAGTTATGATAAACATAGGCTAGATACTTACTCTGAAAGACTGTACCTCTTTTTGTTAGGGCAGTTTTCTGAACCAGAGCAACGAAAAGCCTCTTCTGTTTTAAGAGTTGGGGATTTCTCTTAAACTTTGCCTACCACAGAGCATCTTGATAAGCATGTCTGCATGGTGCTGGGTAGGGGTTTGGGGACTCTTGTGAGTCAGGAGTGCAGGCAGCACTCTTATACCACTGTTTTCATCTGACCAAAAAGGCTGTGGACTTTGTTATTCTAAAAAAGGTGTTAGGGTGAAGTTTAATCCAGATAAGATGGTGATACATCTAGTGGGCTGAAGGAGAGGTCTTGAGATAGAGAGTCATGAGAGGTTAAGAAGATGCTCATTCATCCATACTCCAAGAAGTTTGTCATTTGGAGCTTCTGGAATGGGAGATAGCAGCAGCAGTAGTTGGGACTAACATTGTCACCTCGACCTGGCTGGATGTATATAACCTCTCTGCAATGACTTATTTCTCTCACCTTGAGACAGGATTGTTGAACTAAACAGGGAATGAACAACTCCACCTGTAATAGTCTCCCGTTTCTCGGTAGGCCAAAGACATCTTGTGTAATTACCAGACGGGAGTCTTGGAGAACTCACCCAAGATGGTGTTACTGTTCCACCTAATTGAGGAAAGTGTGAAGCTTGGAGACAAGATCTTGGTCTTCAGGTAAGCAAAGTATCAACAGCTGATCCTACAGTCACTAAATGCTGGAGTAGCTGAACCCCTCCTGGTATTAGGAGGTTGTTACATGGGGTCAGTGGTGTGGCAGTTCCCCTTTTCTCCTTTGTTGTATTAGATCCTGGGTTTCCTCCATGGATTTTATACTTCTGCCACCATCAAGTTTACTAGTGAGAGGTGTGCTGCCACAAACAGGGTTTGACAACCGTCAGTGCTGTTATGGTTTGGGAAGAGTTCTGATACTCCACTTTTGCAGCTGTGGGGGCTTTCTCCTGAACAGAGATCTTGGTTTTGCAGCCAGAGCTTGTCCACGTTATCCGTCATTGAAGAGTTTTTGGCAAAGAGACCAATGCCGAGTCCTCCAGGCTCAGATGGAGGAGTTCACAACTGGGTCCGAAACATCAACTATTACAGTGAGTGCAGCCAATCCTCCTCAATTTGGTGTGACACTGTTTGATCTGCTGTGACGGACTAATTCCTGAAAGTCGCCCACCATCTTCTTGTAGTTGTCCCTGGGTGTGAAAATGCTATTTCTGAAGCATTCTTCTGATGAAATCTTCAGATTGTTCTTACTTTAGTTGCTTGGGAAGACAGTGTCAGTTTGATAGCATCTAACTGATGATTTCTAAATCTTCTTTTTGACATCTTACTCAGAAGATGTTAGACATCTTTGACATCTCACTTACACACTAGTGCTTTTTTGAGTTGTAAAAGATACTTTCTGCTTCCTGTTTGGCTATTTTCTAGATCTTGCTTCCCAAACCAGAATCACTGTGGAATGCTTTCACTAGCTCTGGGCTGTGAATTCCTCCTCCCCTCTTCCCCAGCTTTAAATCTTGTTCTGGCATGGGTTGTTGCTTTGTGTGGCTACTTTACAGGCCAGGACTGAGAGGAGTGGTGGATATGGTGTTCCAGATTTTTACAGAGCTGCCAAAAGCAAGCTGCTGCTCAGGAACAGAGACATGACACCCCCCTGCACTCCTTTAGACCAGTACCCTCTATGATCAGATCCAGCCTATGGGGTTTTGCCAAAGGCTTTCACAATTTTGCTTTCTCATGGTTCCTCAAGCTTCCAGCATGTGAGGCCTTTGTGCCTGCTGCTCTTGCTTGCTGTCTGTCTTGCCTAATATGGAGCCTTAGTGGGCTAGGTGTGTTGTAGCACTCCCAGTCTTGGCCTTGCCAAGCTTGAGTAATATTTTGTTTATCTTTCAGTTGAACAAATCCCAACCTGGCTGGCTGCATTGCACCTGCCTGGCTGGGCAAATTAGAGGTACAGAGTGGTCCCGTTGAGGTCCTGGAGTGCATGGCTTGAGGAAGAGCTAGAATTGGTTGGGATCCAGTGCCAAAGCTCAGTGTTTGGGAAGTGGTTTTGTTTTGATGGGATTCCCCCAAACATACTGAGCTTTTAAATATGTCCTTAATTTCCTTCTCAGGACTGGATGGCAGCACCTCTGCCTCGGAAAGGGAGCGACTGATTAACCAGTTCAATGACCCCAGCAACACCTCTGTTTGGCTCTTCCTTTTGTCCACACGGTAAGTTGGCTGGAGCAGAAAGGCACAGTGGAGGACTCGCACTGATGCTCTGTATGCATATGGGTTTTCAGTTCTTAACTTCCTTTGTAACATGCTCTCAAGACTTTATGGGATGATAGTGCCATCTGTTTCTGAATTCCCTAGGGGTGTAGGATTTTAGCCTTAGTCCTCTGCAACAACTTACAACAGTCTTGGAAGCCAAACATGGGTTTGAAGTTGCCTGTATGACTGGAGGGACTTCCCATAGACACCTCATGCATTCTTGGCCATGATGGCTGTCCATTTCTAGAAACTTTGAAAATTGGCCAAGGCAACAATTTGAAATTTGCCTTTAATTTCCAGTGCTGGGTGTTTGGGTGTCAACCTCATTGGAGCAAACAGAGTGGTGGTGTTTGACGCTTCTTGGAACCCGTGCCATGACGCCCAGGCTGTGTGCCGAGTGTACCGCTATGGGCAGAAGAAGCCTTGCCACATTTACAGACTGGTTTCTGATTACACCCTTGAGAAGAAGATCTATGACCGTCAGATCTCCAAGCAGGGCATGTCGGGTAAGTGTGGATGGACATGGCACTCCACTCTTGGCTTTCGCTCCTTTTAGTTCATTTAAATCCTCTTTCTGTGGTTTTCATAACTTCTTTTTTTAAGGTTGAAAATCAGATAGCCAAAGAAGTGACAGAGATGCTGTCCTAGGGCTATGTTTGATGTTTATGAGTTGACAGTGATATGAGATCCTATAAGAAATTCATGGTAGAGCAGTAGGGGTTGTAGAGACAGCACCCTGCAGCAGGGTTGCGCTACCAGTCCAATGCAGTGCCATTTACCTTCCCTGCTACTGTCCTGGCTGCTACAAGAGACTGGAGACTAAGGGGGTGGACATCTGGTTTTCCCCCGTGCCTGGGCATTACTTGTCTTAAACTGGGCATTACTTATTAAATGGCTCTGTACCTCCATTTCTCCAGCAGTAAGAGAGGGAAAATAGCGACATTAAAATATATATTGATACCTTTGGGTAATAGTGCTTATTTAGGAGCCAAGAATAATTAATTCATTCCAGTTCTGACCTGCCCTTGTACCAAAAGTATCTTTTGTGTTGGCTTGTGCCAGCTGTCAAGCTGCTCTCATACAGCATGCAGCTGAGGGTTGTGGTGACCCAAAAAGAGTTCTGCTGCCTGTGTCCTTCTTTGTCTCGAAACACAACTCCAGAGGCAACAGCCCTGTGTGATCAGCTCAGTATGCTGTCTTGCACTTGAGGTGGAGTCCCCTGGCAGCTGGCTTGGCTCCCAGGAGAGTCCTAGATATAAATGTTTTCTCCATGTGATCCCATTTGCCCTGTGTGCAGGAAGGAATGTCCAAGGAAAACTTCCAGGCTTTTGTGAGGGAGGGACTGTGACTGCTTTTCTGAGCTTTTGACTCAACAGAGTTCTGTAAATTTTAGTACCTGGTTATTAACTTGAGCCTTTTTGGTGGGATTTGTGGGAGAGCATGTGCTGATGTGGCTGCCGTTCTGTCCTAGGGCTTGTATGTTTTCAGTCTTGTGATGTGAGATGGGACAACATCTATAACTAGCTTCATGTTACTGTGTGCCAGGAGCTCAGTGACTTGCACTGCATTGCTGTGCAGTCTGGAGCACAAGGGATTGGTTAGCCTGACTTGGTCAAACAGGCTCATCTCTGAACATGGCTGATGATTTTTCTTCCTGCCCTGACATTTACAGAAGGCTTCTGAGGACCATGCAGATTGCAAGGAAGGAGCTCTGTTAGGACAGGAGTGTAGGAAGGACAGCAGGCAGCAGTACCCATCTCTTCCCTTCTCCACTCTGTTTTCTCTCTTTTCCAGATCGGGTGGTAGATGATCTCAACCCAGTGCTGAACTTCACCCGGCGGGAGGTGGAGAACCTGCTGCATTTTGTGGAAGAAGAATCTGATCCTGCTCAGCTCTCCCTCAATCCAAGCAAGATGAAGGAGTCTGTTCTACAATTAGCCTGTCTCAAGTATCCTCACCTCATCACCAAGGTAAGACCAACCTGCTTCCTTGCTGGCACAGCACTGCACAGGCAGGAGGAGGTCTGGAGGAGTCTGGCTGTGTGATGGGAACATGGTGGCAAGAAGGTCACATCTGTGTGCTGGTGGGAATAGGTAAAAAATCCTCTAGCAAGGGCCCGAAGAGTCCTGCCCTTGCCTGCAATATCTTCTACACATTTAGAGCCACGACTGTCCTGGACAGGTTTGGGGGCAGGTTGTAGGGCACCCCTTTTTTCAACTTCGTGCTGGGCAGGAAGGTGGCTGTGGCATATCCCAGCTTGCTGCCAGCTCTCTTCCTGGGGTGGCTTTAAAACAAAGCTGAGACAGCCAGCACTTGCCTGTGTTGTGAAGAGTTTCACTGGTAGGGGGGTGCTGCAGAGCGGGCCTGTGGCTGGGTGCCATGGGGCTCTGGTGACTGTGTGACATCTTGGCAGGGTCTGTGCTTGTGCTCTTAGCTTGGCCTTTGGCTCGTGGGTTTTGCTGTGTGCTCTTAGAAACGGTGAGTGATGGCTTAGCTGACTCTGTGACTCTTCAAGCTGAGCCTTGGTCACATCCACAGCGTTGCCCCACATGTACTTCTCCAATACCAGCTCTGCCTCCCAACTCCCCTCTTCCCTGCTCCAGCCTGGGATGGAGACATTGCTGATGCAGGGACCAGGTGGCTGCCATTTGGGGCATGTTGGTTCCCTCTTGTGGTGTGTTGGTGTCAAAACCTCAGTGCTGTGGGGTTGCAGGAGCCTTTTCAGCATGAGTCACTGCTGATCGACCGGAAGGAGCACAAGCTGACCAAGGCAGAGAAGAAAGCAGCCAAGAAGAGCTATGAGGAGGAAAAGCGAGCATCCGTCCCCTACACCCGGCCGTCTTACGCACAGTATTACCCAGCCAGTGACCAGAGTCTGACGAGCATCCCTGCCTTTAGCCAGAGGAACTGGTGAGTACCTGCCTCTTCCCCTTCTTCCCGTGCTGTAGACGTGAAATGAAGGGGCAGAGGTCGGCTAGCCCTGTCAGTGGGGGCACTGCACTTTCTTCCCTCTTCTGTCACTAGGCGACCAGCCCTCAAGGGTGAGGACAAGCCGGTAGCAAGCGTCCGCCCAGTTCAATCCACCCCCATTCCTATGATGCCCCGGCATGTCCCCATGGGCAGTGCAGGATCAACCTCAAGTTCCAACCCCGCTGTCAACTTCCCCATCAACTATCTACAGCGAGCCGGTGTCTTTGTGCAGAAGATTGTCACCACCACAGGTGAGCTGCTGATGCTCACAGTGAGTTGAGTTGTGATGCCCATGGTGAATTGAGGAGCAGGGTGAATTGTTGATGCCCACATGGGCTGTGGCCAGACGGGCATCAGAGCCACTGATACTGCCTGTCTGCATTTGAGTGGTTCCCCTGTACCTGGAGGACTTTCCCTGCAGGTGTGCAAGGGGCAAGGGCTTGGTGGGCTGTTGGGAGTGAACTCCCTGTGAGAGGGCCTGCCATACCATCGCCAGTTGTCCTTGCTGGGATGGGGGAGATGCTGTGCCAGAACAGGGTGGCTTTTGCTTCATTGGAGTCTATGCTGCTCAGAAATAAACCCAGGGCTTGCTTCTAGCACAGCACACAGGAGAGACAACTGCACTGCAAGCAAAGGGGTTCGGCGGTGCATGCCCTGCTCCTGACTGTGGCTGGTGTGTAATTTCACAGACACTGTTCTATTTCTTCCCCCACTGCCAGATATTGTGATTCCGGGTACAAACACATCCACTGATGTACAGGCAAGAATCAGTGCTGGTGAGAGCATCCACATCATCCGAGGGACAAAAGGTAAGTCTTTCTGTCTTGGTAAGATTTGTGGATAGGGTCCTAGCCAATGCTAATTAGCAAAGAAAAGGATGTAAAAGCATGAATCAGTTCCTTGAGAGGAAAAGAAACAAGAAGGGGAGGAGATCTGGACTTTGCAGTGGCTCTGTTGCAGCCCATGCTTTGGGTGTGCTGTTGTAGCTGATGCTTCGGGGCTATTGCAGCTGTGGCTGCTCCTGCCTCTGAGAGGAACTGTTGAACTTTGTGGCTGGGTGTCTCATTCTCACAATGCCCACTGCATGTACTGGGCCAGCCAAATGCTTCCTGCTGCTCCCAGAGCAAACTTAGTCCCAAGCATGAAGTACCACATTTCCCCCTGGCAGCACATCGGGAGGGGGTGAGTTCCAACCCAGGAAAGCTGAAAGGGTGGAAGTGAGGAGTGAGGAAGGGGGCAGAAGCCCCCTGCTGATCTCTCTGCATGACCTGTGGGCTGGTCTTATGCAGCACTGCTGTCCTGTTCCTGCCTGGGCAGCCTCATGGGCTCATGGATCCAAGGTCCTAAGCTGAGACTGGAAACCATGAATGAAGTCATTCTGCCTCTGTTCCAGGGACGTATATCCGGACCAGCGATGGGCGGATTTTTGCTATCCGGACCACTGGGAAGCCAAAGGGCAATGAAGACCGTCGGACAGCTGCCTCAGGTAGGGACTTGTGAGCACTGTGTGGGGCTTGCTCACGTGCTTTCCTACCCGACTGTCTGGGGCAGTGTTCCCTGTCTGCATTGCATCACGCCTGTGTTCAGAGCTGACCCCACAATCTCCCCACGATATCCCCACCTTCCTTTCCACTGTTGCCTCTTGGTCCCCAGGTTTTTCTCCAAGGTTGTCTTTCTCACCTGCTCCATCTCCTTGTTTCCAGGCTCCCAGAGCTCTTCACTGGAGTCCACAAGCAATGGTAGACACAGTGCCTCATCACCGCAGCTCCCCAGCACGGAGGAGCTCACTCGGCCCATATCCCCTGACAGCCCCGAGATCATCAGCGAGCTGCAGCAGTATGCGGAGGCAGCGGCTGCCCGGGAGTCCCGGCACAGCTCTCCCAGCACCAACGCAGTGCAAGGCCACCCTGCCCGCACAGACAACGCGCCTGGCTTAGCAGCCCGAGGAGCGGAGCAGCATGTGGGGATTCACTGCATGGCTCCCTCTGTGTCTTCAGCCCTACCGGCCACCAGCCAGCACGTCGATGCCCACTCAGTGTTGGACTTACGGGGCAACAAGCGCAAGTCGACTTCGCCGTCGGCTCCGGAGGAGCAAGCCCGCAGGCAGCAGAAGAAGCGCCAGTTGCCATCGTCCATGCAGCCGTACGAACACGGGTACCCCGTCTCTGGTGGGTTCACCATGCCTCCTGTCTCTTTAAACCACAACCTAACCCATCCATTTGCCTCCCAACCAGGAAACTCCTTGTACATGGGCACTGGCTCCTCTTATTACCAGCTGCCCAATTTACTCCCAGACCCTCATCTGGTGTTCCCTGTGACTACTGACCCTCTGCTGACAGCCGGCACCGCCAGCTCTTCTGCTGCTACCTCAGCCACCGCCAGCGTCCCCTCATTCATGCTAAACCCTTCTCTGACCGGGGTGCTGCCCAATTACTCTCTTCCCTTCACGCAGTCACTCCTGCCCGAGCCCAGGATGTTTGCTCCTTTCCCAGCCCCCGTCTTGCCTAGCAGCCTTTCCAGGAGCATGGCATCTGCCTACCCTGGCTACATGTCCCCTCACTCGGGCTACCCGGCCGGGGGCCTCCTTCGGTCCCAGGTGCCTCAGTTTGAACCCCAGGAGGTCCCAGAGGTGGGATGCAGCTCTAATGACGAGGACAAAGACGACGATGTTATAGAGATCACAGGGAAATAATGGGCCCAGCTCCTGCTTGGTCTCAGCTCTGCCAGGAGGCAAAAGTTGCAGGACCTTTTTGGGAGTCAGGATTTCCCCTCTGGGCCACAGCAGCGGGTGGAGAAGGATGCGAAGGGTGTGGCGTGGGGGTTGTTTTGTTCTTTTCATTTTGTTTTGTTGTTTTTTAGCTGTCAAGGATCTTAATTGTATTAGGGACTGGGAGATGGGAGGGGGATGGAGTGGACCTGCAAGGGCCTGGGGTGCAAGAGCCAGGGGAGGAGGGAAGCAGCAATGCAAACCATAGGAGTGCCTCCCTCCCACGCTGTCTGTCTGTCTCTGTTCTCTGTCTTGTCTGGAAGGGGGAGGCTTGGTGTTGCGAGTTCCTGCCCTTCTCAGGCCTGGAGGCATGGGCTTGACCGCTGGCAGGGCCGAGCTCCCTCTCACATGAACTGCCTTATCTGTGAACTTCTCTCACTCCGGGAGGTGTGGGCTTTGGGGGCGACTCCAGCAGAGGTTGGGGACGAAGCATTTTTACTGGGGAGGAATTGGGGGGGCTTCTACATCACATATGTTGGGGGGGAGGAGGGATTGATGTAAAAAAAAAAAAAAAAACCACAACAAAAAAACAAAACACCCCACAAACAATTTGTCATCCTCTTCAAATTCACATGAAACTAGTGTGAGGGCTCCAGGCAGGCTCCTGCCGCAGCAAAGAGGGCAGGGCTCTGGCGGGGGGCTCCCTCAGGCCCTTCTGGAAGGTCCTGTCCTCCCCCAGACCCTTCTTGGAGGGTCCTGTCCAAGGTAGGTTGGCCCTGTGGTTCTGTGTGCCAGATGAGTGGAGCAATCCCAGACATCTCGGTGGCTGTTGGAGGGGAATCCTGGTGAATTCCCTGGCTCCGTGGCGCTGCCAGGCTCTGTGAAGGCCACGTCTCGCCCCACTGTGGCCCACCAGATCCAGGGGTAGGTGGGCTCACTGCTGCTTCTCCACTGTGCCAGGCAGTGGAGAAGTTTGGGAGGGGACACTGGAGCCAGTGCTGGTTGCTGTTGAATCTGTGACTGGAGCGACTTCCCCCTGCACAGAACCTCTACGTTAATTTATTTCATGAAGGCGTAATATTTATTGTTTGGGGGACTCTTTCTTCCTACTTTTAAATTAATTTCCATATTAAAAAAAATAAAATTCTGGCCTCCATCATGCAGTGGTTGCTTGTTGGGTTGTCTGTGTGGGGAGAAGCAGCCGGTTGACCAAAGCATAGTCTTAGAAGCAGGGCCAGCTGCGGAGGTTGCCTGTAGCTGACCTGTGTCGCGTTGGCTGGATGTGCCCCATCGGGGGATCGTGCCAGAGCAGGGAGGAGCTGCTCTGGGTGTTCTGCAGCAGCCAGAGGGAGGATGGAGTCCTCTTGTCATGTTGGGGCAGGTGGAGGAGCACTTGTGGAAGCCTCCTGTGCTCATTCCCAGTGAGGAGGAGGGCCGCGAGGTGTGCGGAGTCGGGAAGGCAGAGCTCCTGCCGGCGAAGCGCCTTTCCCCACATGGGGAGCGGCACTCGGCCAGCCCTGCTCTGCCACATGCTTGCAGAGGCTGGCCCTAGCCCCGACAGCGAACGCGCTGGCTGCTCGCCTCGGTGCCAGGGCTCCTAGGGAGAGGTGGGGGTACCCAAGCGCAGTTGGACTTGGTGTGCGTGACTGTGTGCGTGAACGCGTTAGGTTGGAGACTTGAAATCCAGGGAACCTCTGTGTCGCATCTGGGTGTCACCAGGCAGATGTGCACACCTGTGTGGGATGTCCCTGCAGCGTGGCTGGGACCTTGGAGCAGTGGTAGCTTGTAGGGGACCTCTCAGGCTGTGGAAGCTGCAGTCGCTGGTGTTTGCTGGGACCAGCTAGGTGTAGGAAAGGGCAGGATGTCTTGACATCCTCTATCAAAGGGGCGCTGGAAGATGGGGACCTCCCTTCCTGAGAGAGAGAGAGGGATGTGTGTGCACGTGTGTGTTACAAAAACATAATAAAAAAATGTTATGGGGCTTTCCTAGTGTCTTTCTCTGTTTAATGGACATTGTCTGTCAAACATAACCACACCATTCATAGAAGCCTTAGATCAACAGTTTAGCTATGCAAATTATTTTAATTATTTTTTTAAAAAACCAAACATTAAAATAGTGCTTTCTTCTTTAACATATCCTAGGAGTTGAAAACCGAGGGGTTCTGAGCAAACTGCTGGACAACTTGTCTTTGGATGCACCATGGAAATAAAAATCAAACCCCCCCACAAAAGTAACAAAGCAAATTAACTGATGGTGTTCATGCAAGTTTCTCCAAAGACTTGACAGTGCTGCATCTGTGAGTCATGCCCTCCTGTGCTCTGTGTGTCCACCTCATGCACAACCCTGTGACATTGTATGACGAGCTTGCCCAGATGTCCGTTGCATCCCTGTGAGGCTGTCAGTTTTCCGGTGGATTTGGGGAATGGACCTAGGCAAGGGCTTTCCTTGTCGAGAGTAGCAAGTGTTGTGACCTGCGGGCACATGTGGGAGGCCAGAGCGTGAGCAGACCCTCACCAGAGCCCTGCCACAGCCCCCCTCCTCATTGGTGGTGGTCAGGGTAGTGGGGTTCATCTGAGGGACCCTTCCAAGTCCTCTCTGAACGGGGCTTTTCTGTGGCTCTGTGCTGGGACGAGGCATGAAGATTCGGCTGGGGGCAGTTGGCACCACGGCTCTGGAAGCGGTCGGTACCTGTGACTGCATGCCATTTTCTCTGCTTCCTGCTTCTCCAGGAGAGCACCTGGGGCATGTCCCCATGCTGCTGTCTGATGTCCTCCCGGGGCTCCCTGGCATAGCCCAAGCCCTGTGGCCGTAGGAGCTGGAGGCAGCCGGGGCTCAGCTGCTGCAGGGTGCACGCTTTGTGCCGCGGGCTGACTGTTAACCTCCTGGCACCAGGGCGAGTTGTGAGGGCTCTCCTGGCTCCTGCATGGCCATGGCAGCTTGGAGAGCCTTCACCACCCTCCCGTGGTGTGGCTGCCCCTGGATACTACCTGCTGCAAGGGGCTTCATCTCGCTAGCAAACATCTGCAGCTCCGGGCAGCTGCAGCACAGTGCCCCTGTACGGCAAACACCCGCGCGGAGCCCTCCCTGAGCAGAGCAGGGTGCTGCGGCACCTCTCTGCCCCACGTACCAGCCCTGAGCACCCCATTAACGAGAGGCCGGGTCCCCCGGGCCTCTTCGGAGCCTTGGCTGAGAGGTGGTCGCAGAGAGAGCTGTGACGCCCCGACTACATGGCTCCCGGGGGGGCTGGCAGTGACTGGGGCTGCTCTAAGGTGACTGGTGGCACCTGCTCTCCCATGGCACTGGGGCAAGGAAGCTGCGAGGGCGTTTGGGTTATCCAGGAGCTTTCCAAGTGGGGAGACCTCTCTGAGCCCCAAAACTCCTCTCCCATGGGACTTGCTCTCCCCCTCATCTGGCCTCCCCAGACTTTGCTCCTCTTCAGCACGTGGTTCTGCTGCAGAGGGTCCTATCTCCGTTTTCCTGAGCCTGGAACAGGGGCTTTTCCCTGCACGGGTTAAATTTTTCTTTTGCTGCTGAATTTCTGTCTCCAAATGACCGGATGGAAGCAGCTGCCAGTTCCAGTTCGCGGTGGGGCTGTGGGTGACACCGAGGACAGCAGTGCAGGACTCTCCGCTGAGGTTTTTGGATGCTAAGGAAGATTTCTGAGCACAGCCCCGAGGCTGGGGCAGAGCTGCAGGGGCCCCGGGGGCCGCCAGCTGCCCTCCGTGTTGGCACCCAGCCCTCAGCCCTTCCCTTAGGTGGGAGGTTTCCACTCCTGGGGACAGTCGAGCGAAGGCTGGGTACCGCCGCGGGACATGATGCCACAGGCGTGGGGAGCGCTGTGGCTGCTGTGTGCCCTGGTCTTGGTGGTCTTGTTGCCCCTCTGCTGGTGCGGCTCGGGGGGGGGCTGCGGGGGGGGGGGAACATTGCCCAGCCTGGCCCCACGTTGGGCAGGATCTGCTGCACGTTGGCCTCCCAGAGTGCCTGGGAGGTTGGTGGGGTGGATGCAGGTACTCACAGAAAGCAAATATTCCGGCAAGCAAAGGATGGGATTTCCACGGGGGCTTTGCTAAAAATAATGTATATTTTGGCTTAATGATGTCAGCAAATGGCTGAATGCAAGAGAATTGCTGTTGGTTTGTGGGTGGCTTCCAGGCCAACAGGGACAAGTACAGCAAATACCTTCACAACTGGTATTTCTCGCCACTCTGGGATGGATTTTGTTAATCCAGTCTTGGAAAGACCGGGGGGAGGGCTGGGGCGGGGGGCAGAGGTTAAAAGGGGAACATAGTCCAGCTAGAGTACAGTGAGATGATGGCTCCTTGCAACTCAGAGCAAGCGCTCCCTTCGAGGGGACGACGGTGTGAGTGAGGGAGAGCAACCTCTGCCACCTCCCGGACCACCACCACCGTCCGCTGCTGCTTTGTGGCTCCCACCTTGGTGGCACCCAGCTCGGAGCTGGAGTCTCTGGCAGATCCACAGGAGCCTGAAGGAATCCATCACTGAGTCTCATTTTGGGTTTTCTGTTGGTTTGGGGTTCTTTGTTTTTTTTCTTTTCTTTTTTACTACCGCCTTAGTTTGTGGCCTGTCTTTTTGTGGTTGGAAAGAGGAGTATCGCTAGCAGGGCGGGTTGGTCGGTTGGCCCCACGCATGATCATGTGCTTCCCTCTTCTCTCTGTCAAACGGGATGTGTTCGCCTGATCTCCCAGAACAGAGACTTTGAACAATTTGTTGTTTATATGATGTATTTATTTTTACTTGTGTTTCATGTCATTTTTTAAAAAAATAATAAATTGTAAGTTGGTATAACTGCCTGTTGTTTCTCTCTCTTTTTTTGGTAAAATAAATGTCAGAATTTTAAAAAGCGGTGTGGTTTGAAGTGGATTGGAGCTCGGCTGGGCATGGGCATCCCTGCAAACCCCAGGTGCCTCGCTGCCGGAGCCCAGGCTCAGCAAGCGGCCGTGTCCCGCCGCCTCCAGCGGCATTTGGGCTCTGCTGGCACCTCCGCAGCCGCCCAGGTGAGCACCGTGCTGCCGGGGCAGCAGCGCGGGGCCTGCCGCTTCCAGAAGGGAGAGAGCCTGGGCGCGTGGATGTCCATGGCAGGGCTGGATGCTGCTGGGTGTCAGCGAACCATTTGTGAGAGCTGGCTGTTTCCCTTCTCTGTCCTCTGTGCTTATTATTGCTGCTGATAAGGATCGTCGTTAAAGGCCGGGGGAAAACAAGGAGAATAAATATTCTGCAGGGCGTAAATAGCTTTGAGTCTCAGAAAGCCGGTGCGGGCTGCATGCCCTCGCCCTGGCGTGGCCCGTGGGGCACACGAAGAGGCGGCGGGGACTGGCAGGGTTTGAGGTAGTAACAGCGAGGCGTTTCTGCGCGGGAAGCTGAGGTGTCTCGGAGCTGATGCCCGCGTGCAAGAAGGGCCCCGGAGAGACCGGGAAGGGAGTCACGGGCGGCCCCGGCTCCCTCTGCCCCTTCAGAGGGGCTGGGGGTGCCTCCGCACCCGGCCATTCTTGCTGTCCGGGGATGGGTGCTGCCACTTCTGGTGCCAGGATTTCTGCCGCTGCCTTTCCTGGTGCCGCAGGGCGTTGCAGTAGACATCCAGGCTGGTGCCCGGTGCCCCCAGGGCCCGCGGGAAGCCCTTGTAGCCTGGGTGCAGGTCAATCCGGGGCCGGGGGCTCTGGTGGGTCCCTCCTAGCTCAGCTCCCTTGCTCCGTTTGTAAGGTGGCACCTCCATGGCTTCGTGCCTGATGACGCGGAGGCTGTATCGGGTGAGGGGCCGGGAGAAGGAGCGCTCCACCGCCTGGCACTCGTAGGTGCCCGCGTCCTCCCTCGCCAGCTGGCGGATCAGCAGCCCTTGCTCCAGCACCGAGAAGTGGCCGTTGTTCCTGACCTGGGGCAAAAGCAGAGCACAGTGGGTCAGTCCCCAGGGACCCGAGCCACCCTTGCGCCTCGTCCCCACCACCCTGTCCCCCGTACCTCGGTCAGGCCCGTTTCCTCGCCGTGCCGCACCAGCCACCGGACAGTTGTCTGCGGGGAGCGGGCCGTGCACTCAAGGAAGGTTGAGTTCTTCTCCACCCCAAAAACTAGCTTCTCCGTGGCAGCGGTCCCTGCGTGGGGGACGGGACAGGGGAAGGGGTGAGTACCCTGCGTGGGAGCTGCGTGAAGGGCAAGGAGGGAGGGTGGCATGGAGCATCCAGCATGCGGTGGGTGGCACAGGGTCCACGGCGGATGATGCTGGTGCAGCTGGTGGGCACTGGTTTCCCAGCACCGTGCCACCCACCCTCCTGGGCATCCCTGGCCCCTGGGCAGAGCCAGTTACCCGCACTGGGGCTCCTCGGAGGGGCTGGGGCTGGCGCTCACCTTCTGCGGTGTCCTGGCACTGGCTGAGCGGGTCAGACTTCAGCACGTCCTGGCAGCGGGCACGCCTGTGGGAGAGCAGACGGGGGCTGTGGGGTGGCATCCGCCCCGAGCTGTGGGACCCCTCAGTGGCAGAGCAGCCGGGGAGAAGGGGAGGGTGGGGGGGACTGGGGAGGGCCGGGGCAGTGGCCGGCAGAGTGGCAGTAGGGATCTGGGCTGACAGGTAAAGCCTCCAGGGCCGGCAGCTTGCCCTTCCCTGCTCCGAGCACCCTCCCTTTGCAGAGGGACAGCAGGGCTGGCCTGGGCGGACACCAACCTCTTTTCGGTGAGCAGGTGAGGAGCACAGGTCTTGCTGTCCCAGGTGCAGTAAGGGTCCCTGGCCAGGCAGCAGTCGGTGCAGGTTTTGCCGTAGAGTTCACAGCGGTACAGGGAGAGCTGGAGCAGCCCGTGGGTGCTGCTCACAAACAGCTCCTGCTGCTCGGGCAAGCAGAACAGTGGCGGTCAGTATAGCCACAGCTGGAGACGGGGGCTAGCGGGGGAACAGAGCTCCCTGCGCCCTGCTGGGATGGGGACGCTGGGTGACAGGGGGAGTGCAGGGCAGAGACCACCACCCTGCAGGCTGCCCTAGCAGGAGCCCATTCCCTAAATGTGCAAGCCCTGGGGCCAAGGGACCCAGGCAGAGGGGCCGGGGCCAGCTGCCCTCTGTTCCCTGTCCCTTGGCTGCTTTAGGAAGAAGCAGGAGGGAGGACTCACCCTCTTTGGTGATAACTTCATGTCCAGGATGGGAGAAGGCACCTGGAGGGGAAGGAGATGGTGCTGCAGCTTTGTTGGTCTCTCTGGGGTGTCCCAGCCTGCCAGTGGGGCTGGGACCTCGGGGTGGCAGGGTGCTGGGACCCCGGCCCAGGTCCCTGGTCCCAGCTCCACCTGCTCCACACAAGCTGCCTGGGCTGGCCCTGCTCGGTGTGGGCAGCCCTGCCTGGCAGCCGTGCTTTCAAACCTGGGCTTAGCCCTCCCATTTTAGTTTGCGCTCTGGTGTGTCACCCCTATCCCTCCTAGGGACTGGATGAGGAGCTGGGAGATGACTCGGCTCGGGTCCGGCTGGCTCCCCTCCGTGCTACCAGCATCGCCTGCCAGTCAGGGCGGGTGGGAGCCCCCAGTAGTGAGGCGAGGGACCTCCTCGATAGAGGCCAGTGACTTGACGCAGGATCTTGCAGGGAGGATGCCACGGGGCGAGGGGAGGCTGTGTGGTCCAGCCACCGCGGTCCAGCCACCGCGGTCCAGCCCCGGCTTCCCGTACCTTAGTGACGCTGATCTCCTCCAGGCTGATCACCTCGGTGCCACGGCTCGCCCCACCGGCCAGCCCCACCTTCAGGATTTTACCTTCATCTGTGAACGCAGCAGGAGAAGGAGCTGTCAGGGCTAGGAGCCACCCGACCAGCAGGACCAGCGTGCCATACAGGCTGCCCTGCGGTGACGGCGTCCCCAGAGCCGGGGTGAGCTCCCACCTGTGCCGAGGAAGAGCACGTCGTAGTGCCGGCTCTCCGTCTCCAGCCTGTGCACCAGCAGCCGCCGCAGCCGGTAAGGTACGTTGACCCTCACCAGGACAGGCTGGCGGCCCTGCGGGTATACAGGCTCCCACATCAGCTGGTGGGTGCGCATGAAGCTGATCACCTCGTCGGGGAAGTCCTTGGTGGACTGCAGGAGGGGGTCGTACGTCTCGCTGGGGCACTGCGTGGCAACACGGGGGGGCTGCATTAGGGTCGGGCCAGCCTGTCGCGCCTCCCCCCCCCACCCTGCTCCCCAGCCCCTTACCGTGCCGGGACGGGGATAGGGGACGCGGCCCTTGTATTCTACCCAGCGGTAGTCGAATCCCTCCTTGTGCGCAAAGGGCCCGCTGAAGGCAGCTCTCACGGCAGCCATGGAGTAGACGCAGACAGCGGAGCCGCTGAAGACGCCACTGCGGGGGGAGCACGGGACTGTCAGCGTCCCTGCTGCTCCACGGGGACCAGGCGTATGCATGCGCTCGCCCCTGAGCCCACGCTGTCCCCTGTCAGCCCCAGAGTTGTGCACGGCACCCAGGAGGTGACAAGAATCCCTTTGGCACAGCCAGTCCAGCCTGGGGGACCACTGGCTGTGCTGATGCCAAATCCGGTGGGTTGGCAGGCGGGCTGGTGAACTGGCAGCAGGGAAAGCAGTGAAACAGCTGGTGGCCCTTCCTCTGCCAGCTGGGTGCTGGTGCCGTCCTTCTCCCTCCCAGGGCTCCCCGTGGGGCAGCACTGGTGAGAGGCTGGGGGGGCTGCACTGCCCCATGCAAAGGCTAGCCGGAGCCCTGCTCACCTGGAGACTGTGAAGAGGCCGAAGATGAGGGGGTTCTGGGGGTCTCGGGTGCCCAGGAGGAAAACATCCTCTACAAAGAGAGGGGTGGAGGTGAGGCACCCAGGAGCTGGAGCGCCAGTCCAGGAGATGCAGGCGGGCATCCTCCATGCCATGCCCACCTCCCTGGGGCATACTGGAAGGAGCAGCTGTGGTGGAACAGCATTGCTCCCAGCTGCAGACCAGGCTGTGCACTCACCGAGCTGGTCGAAGTGGGTCTCGGTGCCCTGCGGCCCGGGGATGGAGCACACCAGGCGGGCCTTGAGGAACGTGCTCCAGCGGTTGATGAGGCTGCGCTTCCCTCCGACATCATTCTGCTGGGCACCAACAGCCGGGCTCAGTCCAGCCTCTCCGAGCCTCCCCCACCGCCACATGGTCCTCTGTCCCCACAGCAGGACATCCCCCCAGCCCTGAGCCCTCTGCTCTGTGGTAGGTGTGCAGTGACACCCTCACGTCCTGCTGTTGGCACCTGCTTGGGATGCCCCTTGGCCCAGAGGAGGTAAAAACCCACTTGGTGGGACACCCGGCCGTGGCGTGCTGGCCTTTGGTGACCGACCTTGCAGACCCGGGCCACCCTGGCGTGGATGTGCCGCCTCTCCCACTGCCCGGCTTCCATGGCCGTCTCACGGAAGAAGATGTAGACCTTGTCATCGTGCGGGTTGTAGGTATCAGGGATGGCGTAGGCGCCGACAAACGCAGGCTCTGCAGGGGAAAGGAGCGGCACAACGTGGTGCCGTGCCCTGATCCGACCCTGTTGTACTGCCCTTGACAGCCCTTGGGAGCAGTGTGAGAGGCTGAGGGTACATGGGGTGCCCTATGGAGACCCTGCTACCCGGAAGGCAGAGCTCTATTCCTGGCGCTCAGGCTGCAGAGTGCGTGCTGGAGCGTGGGTCCCACCAGAGGCTTCATCAGTGCTTCCCCCCAGAGAGGAGAAGGGGGCCAGACCACTGAGCTCCGGACCCAGTGCTGGCCCCAGCCTCTCCCCAGCAGGCAGGAGACCCCCCTGCCTCATGCCCCACGGGTCCCCCCGCTCCTACCGTGTAGCCAATGGTCCTGGTTCTGCTCTGTCCGGATGTAGCTCTGCTCGGCCCCATGGACCCAGGTCCGGAAAAAGGCAGCGCTGCTGCCCATGAAGTCACTGGACGTGCCCGAATAGAGCTCCCCGTCTGCTGGGTCAGAGGAGACATCACTGGGTTGGGGTCCCACTGCTGGAGGTACCCTGGCAGGACTCCCCTGCATCCTCGGCAGGTCAGGGAGGGTGGAAGGGGCACAGCCTGGCTGGCAGCCTCCTCCAAACCCATGACCCCGCACGGCTTCCAGCCCCCAACCTGCCTAGCCCTTCCACAGTGCCGGTATGAGGCAGGCAGGCTGGTGACACCGCACACCCTCGTGTGTGTGCCACTCCATCTACACCCTACATTCGCGATTCTGTGCAGGAACCGCGAGGTCGGGGTGACCGGGGCAGGACCAGGCTCTGCAGGATGGCTCCTCTCACTCGCACCAGCTCGGGCACCAGCCCAGGACCGCAGCAGAGCTGTGGTGCAGGCACCGCTGCCATTGCCTCCCAGCACAGACCATTCCCAGCGCTCCCACCTTCCAGCATCACCTCTGCTCCCTGCTCCCTCTTACCAACGAGGAGTCCCGTGAAGGGTTCATGGGGGCTGTAGGGGCACCGTCCTCGTCCCGATTCCAAGGAGTGGGTCACCAACCGCATGGGGGGAGCCCCGGGACCCTGCCAGAGCCAAAGGGGAGATGTCAGCCCTGGGGGAGGCTGGAAACAAGCTGGGCATGTGGAGAAGAGTGGGAAGGAAGCTGGTGTGCTCAGCTCTGCAACGAGTGGGTCCCCTGAGGGGGCTGCCAGGACCGGGTCCTGTCCCCATGGGGCACCCTGGCACTGCCAAGCCAGGGCTGCTTCTCGCCACATACAGCAAAGCTACGCAAGTATCAGGGACTGCACCAGGCTGGCCGGACACCCTCCGCAGGCTCCCTCTCCCACCCCCAGTCACTGGGGAGGAGGACGGGGACGTGCTGGGGGTCTCTTGCCACCTTCTGCAATGGGGATGTGGCTGGCCAGGGTGTCCCTCACCTTCCCTCTGGCTCCCAGCTGGATGAAGGCACAGACGGGTTGGTAGGAGCCGGTCCCGCAGGCGAACACGTGGCTCCTGTTGAAGGGCTGGAGGAGGCGGACGAAGTTGGCACACTCCGTCTGCTCAAGGGAAGATGTTTGTTAGTGGTCTGATCCCAGGTCTGGGCACTTGTGCCCAGCCCTGTGGCGTGTCCGCTTGGGATGCAGGAGCCGGGCCAGATCCTCCCCTGGCAGCTAGCAAGCTGAGCTTAACTCTGGCTGGCTCAACACCCTTGTCTCAGGCAGACCCCACGCTCCCTTTCGGGGTGATGTGGGTGTTTAACATCCATGGCAAATCACAAAAGGCCGTGAGCCGGGGGCTGCCAGCCCTGCTTACCTCCACGTTCTTCCCCGCCAGCTGGCAGTGTTCAACCTGCTCCCTGGAGGCTGGCCAGAAAATCTGCAACACAGAGACCCTGCCAATGCAACCCCTGCTTTCCTTCACCTGCCTGGGTAAGCTGGCTCCCACGGGCACCGGTGGGAACGGGCGCAGTCAAAAGGTGCTGCCAGAGGCACAGGCGCATGGTAAGGACACGGGGCTGCTCTGCAATGGGTCTGACACCCCCTTGGGTCCCCAGGGCCTGGCCAAGCTTGGCAGGCAGCCTGCCAAATAGGCTCGGAGCGAATCTGGCGTGGGGACATAGCCTGGGTGGGCCACGGCACACCCAGTCGGTGGGCAGGCTCTCCTGGATCCCAGCCCATGGGAACGCCAGGCTGCGGTGCTTTAATGGGCTTTCCTTTTGTTGGGCTTGAACTGCGCACCCCGCCAGCAGGATGTCTTGGGATGACATTAGCGGACTCGCTGCTGGAGTTGTTTTAGCTCTTGCAGCGGCAGCAGGGACTAGGTGTGAGAGCAGGGCTCTGGGCACTGCCCTTCCACCCATGCCCGGGGTCCACCCAGGTCTCCTCTCCTGGCCAAGCTGCCCTGTCCCTCCCCAGCGTTGGCCTGTCCCAGTGGGGCTCAACACCGCCAGGGATGGGTTGACCCCACTGATTGAGACATCCTGGTGCAAACGTGTCCCCGGTGACGTTAGAGCAGTCCAGCCCGGAGCACATCCACCTCCACACCCCAGCACTGGAACGAGGAGCGGCTCCCGGGGAGGAAGAGCCCAGCCTGGCCAGGGTCACGCTCACACCCTCCTCCCAGCACTGACCTTCTCGGGCTCTCTGCTGGGATGGTCCAGGTGGAGCAGGAAGATGTGGTTTTTTGCTCCCGCCATCAGCCAGGCCCTGTCTTCATCCACCAAGAGGGCTTGGAAATCCAGCCCGTCCCCGGAGGCCAGCAACAGGCGAGAGCTGTTAGATTTCAGCAGATCTGAGGAGCACAAGGTGGGAGAAAGAGAAAGCCATCTGTGAGGGACATAACAAGCAGGCAGAGGCCCCGTGCTCCCCCTCTCTGGGACAGCTCTGCCTACCCACCCCTGCCCCAAGGGAACGCAACTTCCTCGCCACTGCCTTAGCAGAAAAACACCACCCTCGGTGCCCCAAAGCTCATCACGAAGCCTCCTCCCATGAGCCTACCTGGAGTAAACAGCAAGTCACTTCTACAAAGAGGAAAACTACCCTGACCTTGCCCTGGGCAGGGCTGGTTTGCAGGGCATGGGGCAGGACAGCGGTCCAGCCTGAGGAGCCCAGGTCGCTCAGCTGCCAGTCTGCCTTTCAGAGGAGCCCTTGGAGCCCCAAAGCCTCTGCACCCCGAAACCATGGGGAGAAGGCTGAGAACAGGGGAGACTTACTTGCTTGCTGTAACTCCCAGCATGTTTTCCCCAGGCTTCAGATCAAGCGAGTTTATATAAAAATATTTTGGCTATTTGCTGGGGCAAAGCATCCCTCCAAGGGAAGGTTGTATGGTAACACAGCTGCCACAGCAGGTCTGGACACCTCTCCTCTGCCCACCCCCAAGCCATTTAGTCTGTGAAGTGTCTGTTGGGTGCTGGGCTTTTCCCCATGCCCTCAGGCAGGCGGATGGGTGCAGCGGGACAGAGAGATGGATGGCCCGTCCCTGGCCTAAGGACCTTGTAAGGGAAGTCCCGAGCTGTGCCCTGGGTACCACTCTAACCCTGCATCCACCACCCCACTTTTCCCCCACTATGTCCTGAGACAGCCTAAACCCAGCATTAGACCGGCTCAGGGTTTTTAAGAGCACCCCTTCAGCACTGCTGGAGGGAAGAGCCACCTTGCCGAGGGGGAAAGTGTGCCATCACCCGGCGTGCTCCGTGGGGACTGGAGACAGGGCAGCGGGAAAGGCTTTGCTGTTCAGGCTGTAGCTCCTGTGCAGAACCCCGGGGGCGGCTAGCGTGGCCCCTCTGGCACAGTTGCAGACACGTGGGTGTGCGAGAGGGACAATAAGCTCTTGTCTCTTGGCTAACCACTCCTGAAACAACATCTCCGGGGCCTGCATCAGTCCGTGATGTGCAGCGCCAGGTTTCGGGGCTGGCTGGCGGGGCGAGCATCCCCCAGCATGGCAGGAGCGGCTGCTGCACCAGACACAGGATCACAGCAGCTGCCACCCCAGCAAGCGCCTGCTCCAGGGATCAAGGCAAGGGAGACTGGCACCAAGGCGGGCCTTAGAGCTTCCAGAGATCACAACACATTGCTTTCCTCTTCGTAAGTGGCGGGATCCGGCTAGGGATAGGGTGAAGGCTGGCGATGCTGCTCTTGGCTTTGGTGCTGCGCAGGGAAAGGTGCAAAACCAGGGCCATGGGAAGGGGCGATGGAGATGGGCTGCTGCTGGATGGGTACTGGCGGGAGGTGGAGTGCAGCTGGAAATGCGGGGTGATCTGTAAGACCCAGGCTGAGAAATTACCCAAAATCACGTGGATTGAAGCAGCGTGTCAGGAACTGAGGGAGGGAAGCTGTCAGGGGGAGCCGGTGCTGGCTGGGTGGACGGGAGCACGGGCGGACGTGCGGCCTCGGGCGCAGGTGGGGTGTACGTGGGCATGGGCACGGCTCCGTTCAAAGGGGACCGGCTGACCCAGGAGGTTGCGTCTCTCTTCCTTCCACCCTATTTCCAGGGCAGAGGGGAAGCGGGGCCAGTGCCTGCGAGCTGGAAATGCTACTGACGTCGCTCATCCCTGTGGGGGAAGGACCTGCTGGGCCACAGGCAACAGGCAGGGGTCCCTACCCGGATCCACGCCACCGCAGCCAGGCTCGCTCCCAGCTAGAGTTTCCTTCTCCCCTTCCTCTGGGGTCGGAGCTCCAGTTACTGCGGGACACAAATCCTCCTCTGCCAGGAGCCTCTCCCCGTCGTGTCAGGGAGCTCCTGGCCTTCCTCTTGCTCCCACAAGAATTGTGCGCGGCCCCACTTCACTCCCCCATACCCTTGGGTGCCCAAGGGCTCTCCTCTGGGTGCCGTGGGTATGGGGGAGCAGATTTCCAAGCCATTTCCCACCAGCTGAATGGGATTAACAGCTGAATTCCTGTCCCTGCCTGCAGGCCACTGTCACCGCTGGGTCCCCAGCAGGGCGCTGTGCATCGCCCACCCTCCTGTGTCTGCCAGCGCTAACCCGGGACCTGCCTGACCCAGGGGGAAATGTCAGGCAGGGCACAGGTTAGGGTGGGAGGGAAGGTCAGTGTTCATCAAGTGTAATTAAGCGGAGCGGGGACAAGGTTGGTCCCAGGGAACGTCAGCTGCTGGTCACCCTGTGAACTGCCCCAGCCCCATCCGAGGACAAGGTTAGGTGGGATGATGGAGGAGCCCTCTCTGCTGCTGCGATAGTATGTGGGAGGACCCAGGAAGGGCTCGCTGCCCTGCACTTGCACCATGAGACCTCTGGAAGGGTTAATGACCGCGAGGGTCCGAGCCTGACTCTGTGGTGCGGTTCTGCTCCCTCACCAAGGGAACACCGAGCGCTGTGGACCCAGACCCTCTACGCAGGAAGCTGCCGCACACAAATCAGCCTCTTCTTGCCCTCAAGTCCAGCTATACCCACAAGGCATTCAATCCAAACCCCGGCCCTCGAGGCAGGGAACCAGGCCGTCTCCGCAGCAGCTGTGCGGTGGCTAAACCGATGGGTGAGCCCAGAGAAACATCCTCTCCTTTGTGTTCATTATCTCCCAAGGCCACGGTGTTTTTCTTTATTGTCAGGACCACTGTAACCGCCTTGTCCCATCCATCATCTCTGCCTGCCGCTTAGCTGCAGCATCCTCAGTGCAGGGCGACCCTGTGCTTCCTGGGGTCAGAGCCCGGCTGTGCCGGAGGGCTCTCCTCTCCCCTTCCCCCAGCCATCGGTCGGAGCAGACGATGGAGGAGATCCCTGAAGCCCAAGGGAAGCTCGGCGCTAAATCAGGCTTCAGCCCCTCACTGCCGTTGGCTGATAAGAGAGGTGCCAGCGCGGCTTTTGGTGCCGATAACCAGAGACCCACCAGCCTGCTGTGCTCCCGAGCACTTGCTGCACAGTGATGGCTTCTGGGTCCTGCCCGGCTGGGCTGGCTGCAGATCAAAGGCTGGCAGAAGACCCATTTGCCAACTTCTAGCTGTGCCTGCCCTGGATTATTACAGTAAGAGGAGCTGGGAGGCGTGCTGTGGTTTCGCTCCGTAGCTGTACTGCTGTACGGCCTCAGAAAACAGAGAGGTTCAGCTCCGGGCAGTGTCAGGGCTGACCCAGCCTGACCCAGCTTACCCGGAGGCTGCCTCTTGCGTGGCCGTGATTGCCAGCGTGCTATTATAAATCTCCTCCTCGCCTCCTGGGCAGGGTGGGAGCCGCTGCTGTTGTTCCTGGCCCCATGCCCCATGCCCCATCCTTCCTTCGCTCTCCCAGCCTTCGGTGCTGTCATTTCCTTCTGGCGAGCCTGCTTGCATCTTCTCCCCCCCACCCCGCCAAGGGCTCTGCCTGCCTCCCCCGTGCTGGGATCTGAGGGCAAGGCTGATCTCATAGACGGACTCTCAAAGGCTCCTTTTATTTTTTCTTTTTTTTTTTTTCCTAGGGGTTTTTAAACCTCAACTTCTCAAGGCATTGTGTCCTTGAACCTGCCTTGCGCTGTCCATGAGTCACATCCCTTGCCATTGTTTGCATTGTCCTTGAGCCCTCCTGATGCTGGGAGCTTCCTCTTCTGCGTCTGCCCAAGACTTGAGGGCTTTTGGCATGTCTGGCCCCAGCACATCGTGGGTCTTTGAAGTCAGCAGTCCCTCTGCGCTCCTGCTGCCCCAGCAGCCCTGCTCTGCCTCTGCCAGCTCCAAGGAAAGGCAGACCCTGCACCGTGTTTCCGAGCTGGACTATCAGCGGGGCCATCTCCCTGCAGGGATATCCTGCATCCCTGAGAGGTCCATCCCTCTCCAGGCACAAGCTGGGGGCATCTTCCACCTTGGTGGCTGTCCCTGCCCAGAGAGCAGCTTCTCAGGGTGGTGGAGCAGGCCAAGGGGGTGGCCCCAGAGCTTTGAGTGCAATGCCCATGGAAAAGATGCACTGCCACCTCACAGGTGTGGAGAAGGGCTGGTTGAGCCCTGCCGACTGCCACGTCCATGCCAGCACCGGGGACGTGCTGAGCTGCCTGTCCTTCAAAGCAACTTGCTCTTTTTCATATAGGAGAAGCTGAAAGCAGGTGAATTGGCCAAGTCTGTGCTGCAGGTCCATGGCAGAGTGACCAGCTGCCAGGCTAGCAGGGCTCTGCTCGAACTGCTCCGGTCATTCCCCTGCAGAGACCCTTTCCCTAGAGATTCCCTTTTTGCACTTCTCTGCTGGACTGCATACCGGCTACCTGTCAGTCTGCTCTTATTGCATCTTCAGGTCACCAAAAGCAGGCCCCATTTTGCGTCAGGTACAAGAAGAGCAAACTGTGCCTCTCCTGAAGAGCTCATAATCTAAACAGACAAGACAGATGCAGGGCAGGGGGAAGGCTGAAGTGCAGCAGGGAAATGATCTGCACAGTGGATCAGTCTCTCCTCGGCAGGAAAGGAGGGGTAAAGGCAGAAGGGCTGAGCTGGGACAGGACTGTGATGGTGGGAGGCAGGGGAAGGGGCCAGCAGCACTGCCTGGGGCTCAGTGTCCCCATTGCACTGAGAACGTGAAGACAGGGGACATTCCCCTGCAGCTGCCCAGGTCAGCTCCAGCCCAGGACACACCGTAAGATGCCCAGAGCGAGTCTGAGCAGAAGGAGATGTCTATTCTGGTCCCAGTGTTGTGCTGGACCAGGACAGGGCGTTCCCTGTTCAGCCCCCTTCTCCGACGCCAGCATCCTCAGGGGCTGTGTTTGAAGCTGCATCCGTGAAACATCCTGAGGGCCCAATGTGTGGAGATGTTGCGGCCACAACCGCGGGGCTACTGCCTGCCACCCCCAAGCCCTGGCCACCCCCTTCGCTCCCTGCCTGCGCACGCTGTCCCAGCCTGCCCGAGCAAGGTGCAGACCCCAAGGAAATCCACCCTTACCTTTGTAGGCGAGGCGAAGGCGCGGGGCGTGCTGCTTCCATGCCTCGCTGCTGCCCGGCTGCTGCAGGAGGAGGAAGAAGAGGAGAAGCGCGGCGAGGGGCAGCCTGCGGCCGGGGGCAGCCTGCATTCTGGCAGCAGAGAGGGGGGCAGCTCACCCTCACAGCACCATGGTCCAGCGCCGCAATGCCACCTCCGCCACCAGCTGCAAGCAGAAAAGGGGGAAGGCTGTACCGCAGTGGGCTGCGTGCGGGTCGGGACCCCCGTCCCGTTGGCTCCTGGCTGGGGAGGGTGCTTGAGGGAGGCCGAGTGACAGCTCGGTAGGTCTGCAGGCAGCTCGTCCCCCAGAAGACGTCAGGCCAGCTGCCTGACAAGAGAGGAGCCACCAAGAGCAAGTGGCCAGCCCCCCGCACACCCACGCTACTGCTGCAAAATGAGCTGGGGCTGCTGTGCAGCCTGCTGCGGGGGGGGAGGTCACAGCCGCAGCGAGCTCCGTGTGCTGGGCCAAGGCGGCCAGGCACAGGCTGGGGGGGGACCCCAGGCACAGGCTGGGGACCCCGCAGCACCCGCCGCAAGAGCCTTTATCTGAGCGGAGCACCTGCGGGCTGGCAGGGGGCTGGGGCTCGCACCTCCCCGGGGAGCACAGGATCGCGGGGAGACAAGGCTTGTCTTGAGGAGCTCACGCAGCCCGAACCGGCCAGGCTGGGAGGGAAAGCGGGGGGCCCAAGGAGGTGGGCGTCTCGCTGGCTGGGCTGTCCTCGCAGCCTCAGCAGTCATCGACGGTCCTGGGAGGGGGTGAGGAGGACTTCTGAATATCTCCATTGCTGTGAGCTGCCCTGGACCCCGCTGGGACACTCTGCGCCCTCCGCCTGTGGGAGCTGACAGAGCAGCTGGTGCTCCCAGGGCCAGTTTGGGTACTGGGAAAGGGAGCTGCGGCTGGGAGACCCGCACACCGGCTGCACCGGCTGCCACCCGGGAGCTCCAGCGCGTTTCATGTCCAGGGACTTCCAAAGACCAGCTATTACAGCCTGCTAGGGGAGGTGTGCGGGGTGATGCCAGCATGCCCATGGCATGTGGTACTCAGGAGCACTTGGATTTGAGCATCCTGGAGGTGACTGATGTGAGGAAAGAGGCGAGGAGTGCTCAGGGAGTAGTATACCCTCCAACAGGCCCTCAGAGCTTGGGCGTCCTCTGCTAAATATCTACTCAGACCCCAGTGCTTGGCCAGAGCCTGGTGAGGGATCCCTAATATTCATCGTACCTCAGCCTGGGGTTAAATCTTGTCCCTTTTACTCAAGGGGGAATTCATGTTTTGGAGCACTGTCCATAAATGCCACTCTTGTGATCCCTTCAGCATGAGCTGCGGCTGTGTGTGTACATGATACATCACTCTGGCCGGTAGCTCTGCAAATTGCCTGGTCATCGCAGACCTCTCCAAGGCCACCAGCATCCGTTGCCTCCAGGACGCTGCAGGCTGGAAGGACTCTCTTACATTTACACCCCCTCAGAGGCGTACAGGGTTTCACAGCCTCGTCCGCCAGCTCCCACACCTCCCGCGGGGAGCGGGGCTGGCCTGCCAGCTCTCAGCAATTAATTCAGGCGATTTAGATGCTTTTTCCCTGCTTATAAATGTCCTGGTCCCTAAATGGCAGCTCTGACTAACTCCCCCTCTTGCTGCATATTAAGTTCTTCCAGTCCCACGGCTGAAAGATTTAAAATGAGCTTTTTGGCTCATTCCTGGCCAGAAGCTCTTGGCGGAAGGAGCAGGGGATTTCTGCCGTCCCGGCGAAGGGCTGTAGGAAGGATGGTGCAGCCAAGCCTTTCCAAATGCCTTGGTCTCTGCCTTCCACAAGAAGGAGCACTCGGCTCTGCTTAGGGAGGAGGTTTTGGGCTTGCGGAGTTGGGGTTTCTCTCCTCCCAGCAGACGAAGAGCAGGCAGGAGCCCGTGGCCAGGCTGGGGTGCAGCCCCTCGGCACAGCTTCTCTCCTGCCCGTTCCTGTCCTCGCTCCTGCCTTGCTCTCGCTCTGGCCAGCATGACTTGCTCCTGCTCCAGAGCCTTTCCCAGTCCCAGGAGACCTGGCACCACCCTGGGACCTGGATGTGACCCTGAGGTGGCGGCTGTGCCATTTTCTGTCTCTCTTTGGTTTGGGGCTGCTTTCTCAACCCATCTACTCCTTCCCTGGGCAGACTTTTTGACAGGCCAACCACTGCCTAGGGAAAAAAACAACAAACATGATGGGTTTACCTTGGTTTAAATTGCTCATTGCTTGACACATTGATTGTGGAGAGGTAGGAACCCCATCAGCCACACTGGGGACCCGCTAACAGGCAGTCCTGCCCTCGCTTCCCCCACAAACACCTTCCCAGCAGGCAGAGATGAGGAACAGCTTTCCTGGGGATACTCCAGCAATTTCAGCTCTTCCCCGCACTCAGCCATCTGCAGTGGAGTCTCACAGACCTGTCCTGCTGACTTGTGGCCATGCCCTGAGCGAGCACTGCTATCCTGGGGGTCATCCCAAGGACGTGCCTGGGATTTGACAGAGATTTTTTTTTTTTTTTTTCTTTGCCAATGTGCATTCGGTTGCTGGAGGACTCGGGAAAACACTGGCTTCTAATTGCAGCTTTCCATAAATGGAGCAGGGCCTGTGCTAGGCTTAGGTTTGGGCTAAGCCAGCCCTGGGAGGAACGTTTCACAACCCAGAGCTCCAGGGGATGCCAGGGTGGGTTGGGATTCTGCGGATGGCAGCCAGGGCACCGCTCCTGCCTCCAGGACACGCTCATGCATGGCTGCAGGGTGAGCTTTAGGGATGCTTTGCATGCCTGCAGCAGGGGCGGCGGGGCAGGCGTGCACGCTCCCATGTACGGCTTGGTTATACCAGGACTTCGCCACCTCGGCCTGGGGATGCCGAAGGCAAGTTTGATGGTGGCAGGAGCCGCAGCCACACGCAGGAGGAATGCAGAGCCCTGGCAGAGCTGAATGCAGGGTCAGAAAAGGCGAGGGTCTTGCTGGAGGGGCTTGCAGTGGGCAAGGAAAGAAAAAACTGTCGGAGGATAACCTCCAGTAAGAAAGGTTCCCCTATATATCATGCCTTCACCAAGACTTTGGGGCTCCCCCCCATCATGCCCAGGCAGCGGTGAGGGACTCGGCACGTCCGTCTCCTGACGCACAGCTAAAATCCCAGTGGCAGCTCCCGACCCGGCTGTGCCCGCAGCCCCTGGCGCAGGGGCATCCCTCTGTGCCAGTCGGAGCGGGGACACTGGTGGAAACACGCAGCAGGGTCACGTCCCCTGCCTGTAAACCTCTGCCCAAATCTGCCTGGAGGTGAAGAGCTCGGCAGAGGCAGAGTTTACACTGAGAGGGTGTCTAGGGGATGGAAACAAGCTGCAGATGATGAATCCAGGGTTAAATTAAACATGCCCGACAGCTTTAAATAATCAACTGTCCGGAGCTGCAACTATTTCTATCTCAGTTTGGAGAGGGAAGTGCTGATGAGGGCAGGCTGCTGGGCGAGGGGATGTCTGGGGGGGGGGGGGGGGGGAGGTGGTATCCGTCGGGGCCC